GGGATGAGTGTTAAGAGGAAACAGTAAGCATCAAGACGGAGAAGCCGCGTGGTACCGGCACGCCATTGCAGCAGTGCGTTGAACAGGCGGTCAGGCGGCCAAGGTTTGTGAGGCGGGACGCCCCCTCAAAAATGCCTAATCGCCCGCACCTGCAGCGGCAGGCCGTTGTGCCCAACCCCCTGTGCCACCATTGAGCGGCTGCGCCAACGATACACGCACACCTGCAAGACAGCCGGAGGGGGCAAGAGAAGGTGAACACTGCAAAACACGAGGAGCTAATGCATGGCATGCAGGGCAAGCGGGATGTGCAGTAAGCTTGGCCGGGCCGCCGGCCTTGCAACTGGACCACCAATCCACAACCACCACCCTGCCTCACTGTGTGCTTGTCATCACCCAGCACAGCCACGAGGTAGGTGCCTCCCGGGGAGAACGCGACAGCCACCGTGCCCAGGCAGCTAAAGGTTGAGAACGTGGTCGATGAGCGGGGGTGGGCAACGGCGGGGCGTGGAACATTGGTAGGATGCAGCGTCACCAGAACGAGTAACACATGCCTGATTGTGTGGGTGGCAGATATGTGATGTGATCGGACAGGGGCCGCTCATCTGTGCGTGCTCCGACCAGGCTGCGTGCATGCATGCTTTACCTGGTGGCAGCCGGCCCTGCACTGGTGGGTAGGTCTAGGCGCACCACCTGCGATGGCGGGCTGGCCGTCGTGTCCCAGATGCACACGCACGGCCGCCCATTGCCCTCTGATGACGAGCCCTGGAGGTCAACAGCCAGAGAGAGGGTCGCGGCGAGTGTCACACCCACCAAAGCACATGTCAGGTGTACGCCGGTCGTAAGGGATGCGCGCGTATACACGGCGCATCTCTTACTTACAAGCACATACACATCCGCACATACACCCGCGTATACATGCAGGATCCTGCCGGCACGGGGATAGGGCCATAAGGTTGCACCTGCCCGGTGGCAGCCAGCGTCTTGGCTGGGTGCAGCGCGAGGCAGCGGATCGTGTCATCGTGGCCCTGTAGCGGAGGCAAGCATGGCCGGTGGATGGAGAAAAGATCAGTGCACACAGTCAAGCAGGCCTGCAAGCACCTTGGATCTGTGCTCACTCATGATCAGACGGACGCCACCCACATGGTCTTAAGCGATGCAATCAGTGCATCGTGCTGATCTTGGCCCTTCACACGCCCGCCTCCACCTTACCCTGAAGAAGGTCTGGGTGTGATTGCGGGGATCGTACACCACGCCCACGCATGCCACGGGGTACACCACTCTGCCCTGCGCAGTATAGTATGCGTTCTGCGCCGTGCGCTCGCGGCCGTTATAGCCATATACCCACTCCAGCTGCAGCCCCGCCTGACGTAGGAGGGGGAAGTGGGTCAGACACATGTGTTTTGAGGCCATGAGCACGTGTGATGGCACTGTCCTGCGGATTTTGCTCAAGCGCAATAACCGCCCTGGCGCCTGCCGCTCACACTTTCAACCCCTGAGGCCTTGAGCCCCTGAGCAACACCCTTTGCCTGCCTGAGGCAACCGCGCCGATCGCTCTGCAAGGGAGCCGTCCCAGTTGGAGGGGGCCCAGACAGGGGTGCGGCATGGGCGGTAGGTGATGCGGCCGCGAAATGTGTAGTTGTGATTGGACTGGTAGGGACCCTGGTCATGGTTGAAGGCGGATGGCAGATAGCAGTATGAGTTCCAGACATTCTCGCAAGTCATGACACTGCGCCTGCCCATGCACCACGCACCAACAAGACAATCGTCACCATAGTAGGCGCCGGCAGCCCCCAAGCCATATGCTCACCCGTTGCTCTGCCTCCACAGCGTCATCCCCGTCGCCGCCATCTCCGAGCAGCTGCGCCGTGAAGGCTGCATAGTCGATGAGGCCGCGCGAGTCACACCTGCTGGGGCGATGAATTGGTGAGGTCAATTGCGGGCAGATTAGCATCATGATCAGCCAGCAAGTGCCTGGCGCTGGCACTGTCCACACACGCCGTGTCAAAGCAGCCTCGCTGATTGGCACAGTTTCACCCATGACAAAACAACCAGACCCTGCCAGCTTTCTACTTGACATCCCCCACATGCCAAGCTCACCCGTGACGCAAAAACAAGGCGCAGCACTGCTCGTCCCCGATGCGCAGGCCCAGCCTCTTCCACGCGTGCTGGAACTGCACCACACTTGCACGGCCGGGTGCAGTTTCACGGCTGCCGCGCTCGCGCGCTGCGTCCTCCTCGCGTCGAAGCTGCCTGTCAGGCGCACCACAACGAGGCAGGCAGCGGTCAGCGTGGTGGTGCGAAGGGGAAGGGAGAGGGCTGTGTGGGGGCCTCACGGAAGAGGGTTCAAAACGGCCATCGAAGGTGGTCGCAGCAGGCTCTGGCTGAACACCTCACAAGAGAGGATGTTCTGGCTGCTTAAGCAGCAACCCTCACCTCAATAGCACCACAGCCTCATCCTCATCACTGCGTGCCGCAACCATTGCCAGCCGCATGCGCATTTCATCCTCCAGAGCTGTGCCCGTGCAGGATTGGCGCAGAGAAGGGGGGCGGCATGTCGGAGGGCTTCATGACCCCACCCAACGACGACACAACGAGCAGCCTGTAGAACAAGCAACCTGCAGCAGCCTCCTGGTTCGGGAGGCGGTCAAGCTGTGCTTTGTAACCCAGGGCTGGTGTTTTCGCCACCAATGACAGTCACCCGCCATGTCACCCGGGAGACCCCTGGCTGGCATGCTGCCCAGGCGCATCCGGCTGAGGCGGTGATTTTGAAAGTTCAATCGCACAACATCGCACCTGGCAGGGAGAAAAGTACACCCAGTCCATGCTTTGACTTGGAAAGTGCGCTGCTGCTGGGTGTGTGAGGCCTGCGGTGCAACACACATGGACGTTCAGCAGCTGCAGTTGTGCTTCAGTGGCGACAGCAGCGGCAGCAGCTGCGGCAGTGGTAGCGGCAGCAGCGGCACAAGCCGCGGTGCAGCAGGCGCAGCTGCAGTGGCGCCTGCAACGCAGCAGCAGCGGCACAGAACCAGCACCAGCAGCAGTGGTAGCTGCCCTGGCAGCAGGAGCAGCTGCAGCGGTAGTCTGTGGCATGGCAGCAGCAAAAGACAAACGTCCAAAGGAGAAGTAGCACGCACACGTGGTTTTCTGGAGCCAAGAAGCAACCTGCCGCCTGCAACAATCTGTAGCTCAGCAGCACTCACGCCTCATCCCCGCCACTCATGCTCACGTCGTGGAGGGCGACAGGGGAAGCACCCCGGCGCCACTGCTGCGGCCGCTGATGGGCTCCAAAGGTGTGGCCTTGGAGCAGGCCCCGCCCATGCCCTCCAGCCTCGCGCGCTGCTCTTCGTACCACTGCCGCGCCTGCTCCTCCAGCACCGCCTGCAACCGCCGCTGCTTGTCCAGTGACGCTATGGATGGCTGCTGGGCCTGCTGCTGTGTGCTGACACCGCATCCGCTGAGGTCGCCGCCGTCTGCAGCAGAGAGCATCGGGAGCGCGCCTGGGCAAGGTAGTGGTGGAAAGACGTTGCATTAGGAGAGGGGTCGGGGTTGGCACCGCAGCGATCCAGCTGTTGAGATTGAGGCGGGTTGTAAGAAGGAACCTGCGCACGGAAACGCGTGGAAAACAGGCTCCCTCAGGCCTGCCGTTGCTGCTGAGGTCAGCATAAGGCAAGCACCACAGGCGGGGTAAACCCTTTTGGGGTCCACGCCGCCGCGCACGCCTCCCACTCATGCCGCGGCGCTCGCACCGCCTGCCGCACGCTGCTGCCCCGCCTTGCGTTTGCTGCTGCTGCCGCCGCCGCCTCCACTGCTGGTGAAGGATTTCAGGGTGACTTCAGGTGACTGTGAGTACCCCACGTGATTGGCGCTGGCGGTGCCGCTGCTCCCACTTGCTGTGCTGCCGCAGGTGGGCGTCGCTCTGGGGTCGGCGTGGGCGCGGAGTGAGTGAGTCATGCCTGCCATCACTGTCCTATCGACAGAGTCATCCAGCACGTCGCTCCTCGTTGACGTCGAGACCAGCCAGCGGCAGCATGCGGCGGCAACAATGGCAGGTTGCAGCAACAGCGTCCGCCCGCCCGCCGCGTTGCCTGTGCCCTCTTGCTATACGCACCGGTGATAGCCTTGATTTGGGCTGCCAGGAGGGATTGCAGGCGTAGCCCTGAACCTCTCCACATTGAAGGGGCTGCCTTTGCTCTTCGGAGGCTGGGCCCCTGACTCCATCGATCGATCAGCCGAGCCCAGGTTATTAGGCTCCCATCGTGGCCCGACCGCCAGTGACAGCTGTCAGCGTGTATATTGGTGGTGAACTATGCTCCGATCACCGGCCCATTGTACGCGCTGGGGTTGTTGACTCTACGGTGCCTCGCTGCACCCGACTGCCACTGCGGTGGCAAAATCGCGGCTGTGGGCGGTGAATGGAACAGTTGTGGCTTTGATTGCGGTTTGTTAACGGCTGTGGCGCTGCCCAGAACCAGCAGCTGGTGGTCGCGACCGGGGCACCGCACTGCGGCAGCTGCGGCGCTGTCAGCGTTGATGGGTCGTTTCGACAAAAGACACCGCAGACGAGAGGGACAGCGGGCTTCGCTCAGCTTGCACCAAGGTAGCAGTGGCCGTGCCCCTGTGCTTTATATACCCCTTGCTATCCTATCGTTGCCTGCAGGATCCATGAATTCCGTTCCGACCCCAGCTGCAAGCTGCCGCAAGGCAGCCACAGAAGTGCTTCCAATTGCAGCTGCCACGCTAGGCTTGACCTTTAACGTTGTTCTGGTGGAACCATGCAGGCCGGGGACCGTCACACCGTGCTTGATTGAGGGGTGACCGTGGGAAGAGAGTGCACGCATGGAAGTGCGGTGGGGCGAGGGGGCCACATACAGCGTGCCGCGGGGAACGCAGAGTCAGTTGCATTGAATCGGCCCACTTTGCCGCTGTGATACCCTTCAATTGAGACGCGGAGGCGTGCACCTCAAGATGTATCTTACCGAGAGGTTCGCTGAATGCAGGCACGCCACCTGAGGCCTGCCTGGGTGCACGCACGCTGTATCCTAGGAGGTGTCATGTTCATGCTTACAATGGTGTTGACAGCGGCACCCGGAGTCCCTGGCTGGGTCGACCGCAAGCGCCCCACGGAAAATCCCGCTGCAAAAGGCAGGGCGTGCAGGGTTTCAGACGCACAGGACGATGTTGGCTCACTGCTCACACCCTGTGCCAACGCGCTTAATCGAAAAGTGTACAAACATTGTTGCAGTACTACTGCACCACAAGTTGGGAACGCTTATGCATCGTGCTGGTTAGTGTTGCAACAATTGCACTCCTGCATGCAGGATAAATCATCAATAACATTGCCTGCAACCTCAAGCACCCCACACCGGGCACCCTGCCGCCAAAGCCCCGCCACCACCAGGCACTCGGCTGCCGCCAAAGCTGCTGCTGCTTCCAGCCGGCGTGCTTGCTGCCCGGGCTGCTGAGACGGCTCCGTCGCTGCCGTTGAGCGCAAACACGGCTGGGTTTGGCCGCGGCGCGCCACTCATGCTAGCCGCCGGCCCCCATTCGCCACCAACAAAGGGGGACTCGGCTGCCGGATTGACAAACACGTCACCGTCCCCGGCCTGCCAAAGGGGGTCGGAGCAGGACAAGCACCAGTTGCATGTGCAGGTGCAAGCAACCGGTGTGAGTGGGGGCGTGCACGGCTCATTTAGCCAAGAGCATTGCCCCACCTGCTGGGATAACTCATGTGTGCACGCCTCTGAACCGCAGCAACGCCCAAATGCCCGCACAACACCACCCACCGGTGCCTGGAGGAGTGTCCGGACGCCAACGCCGCCTACACGAGCCTGCTGCTGCGGGCGGCCGGAGCCGAGCGTTGGCGGTGCGCCATGCACCAGGGTGTCCAGCGACTGCACGTAGCGGCCGTTGAGCCCCACACGCTTGGCAACCTCGCTCATGGCACCGCACAACATGGTCACTGCATGGTTGCTGTAGGCAACCTGCAACGCAGCACACGAGCACAGGATGAGAGCGGAAGGAAGCAGTGTGTCTAAGTTCACGCTGTATTGGAGCCTAACTCGACACAGATGCGTGTAAGACAAAGTGTGTGTGTGTGTGTGTGTGTGTGTGTGTGTGCGCACGCGTGCGTGCGCGTGCATGTGTGCGTGTGTGGGCGTATGTGTGTGTGCGGTGTGTGCGTATGTGTGTGTGCGTGCGGTGTGTGCGTGTGTGTATATGCGCGAACGCTGCGCGCGCTGTGCATCCCGCAGCAGCTTCTGCAATTGCGGTAAACAAGCGCACACAGGGGTATTGCAGGCCCCCAAGAAAAACTGCTTCCACAGGCCTTTGGAAGTGTATCATGTCCCCAGCGTGCACAGACTGGAGACGGCCCCCCACCTGGTCTTGCAACAGCGCGACGCCGCCCTGCACGCCCTCAACGCGGTCGCCCACGTCTGTCAGCCGCGCGTCCATGGCCTCCTGGCGCCCCAGCATGTCATCAGCCTTGGCGCTTACCACGCCCAGCCGCGCCAGCATGTCGTTGGTGGCTGCCTCCACCTGGCCACGCACTGTCGCCAAGCCTTTGAATGACGAGCATTGATTGCAGCAGGATGTGTGACTTGTGAAGAGTCATGAAGTGCGGTGGGAATTATTTGGGTGTGTGTGGGGGGTTCCTGCACCTGGGTGATCAGTAACTTTTTTGGCCGTTGCTGCATCCCAACAGCACCGCACACCCAGTTGGTATGGCGGTCCCTCGCTTCACCCAGCACCTCCTCCCGCCCCTGCCCACTTGTGTTGACGCTCTGCTGCATGTTGACCAGCGCCCCCTTTGTGACGTACATCATGTCGGCCAGCCGCCAGCCCTTGATGAACCGCAGGTACAGCGCCACGCCGCCAACCACCACCACCACACCAACCAAAGTGCTGGCAGAAGCGGGAGCGGACAGGTTGACGCGGGAGCGAGCAGGGCGAGGAAGGTGAGGGCGGTGCAAACGACACAAGGTCGCGCGGGGAGCTGGATGCAGAGCTGTTGGCCCCCCCCCTTGGCAAGCTGCATGAGCTGCCCTGCTCATTCACCCGAGCGCTCTTTCGCCCTTGTGTATGTAATGTTTGTGCTCACTTGCCACTGCGGCCGGAGTCCTTGACGATGACTGTCGGCTGACCCCTCTCCCTCAGCGACTTTATGAGCGCTGACTGAAGCTCATCCACCTGTTTCTGCATTCGCGCTGCCTGGTTGCAGGCGGAGGGATGCAGGGGTGGGTGCAGGTGTGGGTTGCGGCACAGGTGGTGGTGGACTTTTTCTAGAGGCGAAAGGGGGTGTAGGGGCCGACCGGAGAGGAGGTTTGAGCAGTTGCATACCACATCCGAGCACGGCTATTCCTCTAGGTTCAGTCCAACTGATCAGAGCTGGCCCGAACAGGGCGTGCGGGCCCCCCAAATCTGTTGTGCACGCCACCGCTGCCTCGCCCCGCCAGCATGCCTGCGCCCCGTCTGCACGCCCGCCACGACGCATACCTCGGCCATGCCCGCGGCGCCCTTTCTCTGAAACGCCTCATACAGCCCTGAGGCGATGCTGCTAGACGAAAGGCCGTCGCTCTCCTTGTATGCGTTGTATGCCGCGGCGCCCCCCACACCAGCAAACAGCCCACGCAGGGCTGACATTGCGGTGCTGCTGGCAAGCGTGCGCAAGAGAACACGTGCAGCGCAGGGCACGCGGTGTCAAGACAAGCGTGGCAAGGTTGTTGCGGCGGTTTCACGTGAAGGGGCACGCCCCCGCGCATGCGCTGCGGCGCCCGCTGCTGCAGCGCCGCCTGGCCGACGCCACCACCCCTCGTCGTCACCTATACCGCCGCACCTGTTGCGCCCCCCTTCAACCAGGCACCAGCCGTCGGCCTGCCTTAGACACCTGCCCTCTCAATGTTGCGTGACCGGCGGCTCCTGCAAAGCAACGGGGTCGCATGCGTGCGCGCGCGCAGCACGATGGCCCAAATACGCTGCCGCTGTGCAGAGTCACAGCAACCAGCACTGCACGGCGTGCGATCAGCTCCTCAGAGTGCACGCAATAAATAATCAAGAACAAGCTCGACGGCTTCGACGAGTGTCGGCTCGCTTGCGCGCTCTGCACCTGCGCGTACGTTGTGTCCGTCGGCCTTGGTACAATAGATTCGTAAAATTTATGTGAGGGTGCATAGCGTCTCTGAAATTTCACGAGACGCATTGCAGTAATTGCTGAGTGGGGTGGATGCCTTGATGGGTACCATGCAAATGACGGGTGCGTGCGCTTCCGTGCCGCTCCTGAGCGGGGCGCGCGCCACCATGCGCACAAAGCAGCGTCTGGCGCATACCTGCGGGGTCCCATAATACGCTGCTGAGCTGCTTGCCACCATCACATGCGCCTTGCTACGAAACGTACGTTTGTGCGTCGAACCCTGCATATGGACACGGTTGGCAGCACAAGCTGCACCTCCTCCTCAATAGCAGCAGCACTGCGCCTGTCGCCACCCGCGCCCCCCTACTCCGCGTCCCATCCATCCCCATCCGCTGGAATATGACTAGGGTGCTTCTGCCTTCACGACCAACTGGGGCAGCCTTCTTGCTGATCCATGATGATGCATGCCCTCATGCTTGCAGGAGCTGACTACGTAGGGCTAGTTGAGCAGGGGTGCGTTGGTGGATTCACCCCCTGGAAGGCATGCTGACGACACCCACGTGACCACCAACGACACCAGCCAACTAACACTGCTGTGCTGGGTGCAGTTGTGCACACTTTAAAATAAGGCGCCTACTGCATTAGGATTAGGATTAGGATTAGGATTAGGATTAGGATTAGGATTTGGATTGTTACAGCGTCCCGCGGTCGCGCGCTCCTGGAGCCATCCAGGCTCATGCTACTGTAATGGTAGCACACGTCTGGCACCAGGCGGCCGCTAGCTGGGAAACAGCCAGTTGTGTGGATTCTTTTTGTCGTGAGTGACTGGGGGTGACATCACCTATTAGTAACCCGAGTAACACGATCCATTCATCTTCACAACATTAGATAAACCTCCGGCAGCTGTTTGCTGAGTGGTGGGCGCAGCATTAGGCTGTAGTAACGGACCATGTTTCATTGCTCGCTGGTCTTGTCACTCATCTTGATGACACCACGAATACTGGTGACTAAACCCTAAACCCACGTGACACACCACGTGATGTCACTTCCTTGTCCTTGCCCGTCCTTTCAACACCTTGTACTGTAGCTAATTGCAGCTGCCCTGCGGCTGCCCGATGCAAGGCTACTGGCTGCATCTTCCCGGAGTAGCTTCCCACCCTTTTGGTTCTTCCACTTTCTTCCTTTCTTGCTTTCGCACTTTACTGAGGCTCATGGGGTAGGGCTGATCAGTGGGTTCCCCCCCTTGGAGGCGTGCTAACGTCACAAGTTGACATACACGTGACCACGTGTCGGTAGTGACTAATTGATACTCTACTGGATCACGCCATGCACACCTTGGAGTCACGGGATACTTGTACTGATCCAACCTGAAACTACGAAATGCTCATCACGACGTCATCCCACTTGAGTCCCAGTCACACAACGCTGATGCTACAATGCTACATCCCATGAGCCTGGATGGCTCCAGGAGCGGGCGACCGCGGGATCGTGTAACAATCCTAATCCTAATCCTAAAATCACGACGTCATCCCTAAACCCGAAACCCTAGAACCATACAAGAAGTGAGGGGCTCTTGGCAGTTGCATGCTCAGAGGTTGCTGCAGCACTGGGCTGTCGCAACCAGCCACCCTGCACTGCCCCCTCGGTAACTGCAGTCACCCTTATGACGTCATCATGGCTACGAATGATTGTGAACACACGCCAGTAACACACCACGTAATTCGACTGGGATGTGTTGGCAGTCATCAGCTAGCCCCACGCGCTAAACCCTAGTCATTGAGGG